CTCTTTTGGAGTTTTCCTCCCAATATATGAACCATATTTATAATTTTGAGAATAATGAAAGATTCTTGAAGATGGAAATCAGTGAAGAAAATGATTGCCTGGCCTCCTATTCCAGACAATTACCTGAAAAATTAGAGACATAAAGCAACTATTTCAATGTATTTAAGTATTTTGTAACTGGAATTCAAAAAGAGCTCGTGGGAACAGCCTGTTTCTGTTTTTCAATAGCTGCAAAGTTAGGTGAGAGTAGTTAAGGGCTGAGGATTTGGACTCATCTAAACACTCATTTTCTTTGAAGTCTGGTCGTTGTTACTGCTGTCAGGTTGGGATAGTCACTCGGGCCAGAGACCAGAGATGGACGTGAGTTCTCCATGTGGCTGTCTGAACTTCCTCACAGCCAAATCTAGGTTCCTACAGGGACAGATAATGCGCCAAGAAACCAGGCAGAAAGTTCAACAGCGTTTATATATAAGTGAGGTGTGATCAAGTAAAGTGGTGAATATTTAAATTTAACAAATAATTTATTGTAAAATAATGGATTCATTGCCATTATTCCCTCTTAAAACACTCCTCTTACTTTGAACACATTTTTTGGGGGGGATATTTTGAGGGAGATTAATGGCAATGTATCTTTTGCTTTAATACTTTAAAAAATGTAAACATTAATCATGTATCTCCATCACCCCTCGTGCCCTCTTACTATAATGCCAGGGATGGGTACATCAGAAACATGGGAAGGAAGATGCAGTGGAAGCACAGAGGAGGAACATTTACTCTAGAACAGGATTCACGGAGATGGACTGGCCAGGAGGCTGTGTTGAAGACAGAAAAGGCCTTTAGTGGATGCCATTATTTAACTCTCTGAGTCATTAGCTAGTCATGTCTGCTTAACATTCTAGCCATCCATTCTCATTTAGTTGGTCTAGTGTACAAATTTGACATCTAGCTCTTTCAAAACTCTCAAGTGAGTCTAACTTACAACTTAGATCCCGAGTCAGGGTGATGGTTCGTTTTGTGTGTCAGTTTGTTTGTGTCGTGGTATACCTAGACGTTCACTCATATACCCTTCTGGAGGTATCTGTGAGGGTGTTCTGGGATAAGACACATGTATGCATCAGTTGAGGAGCTAAGGCAGGCTCGTGGCTGACAGGTGGGGCACATCCAACCCCATAAAATCCTAAACGGGACAGAAAGGCTGAATGCCTTGTTATTAAGAAGTTCTCCTCCCTCATTGCTTGAGGTGGGACGTTGATCTTCTCTAACCTTTGGATTTGAGTTAAACCACCAGCTCCTCTTTGTTCTCAAGGCTGCTGACTTTCAGAGTGGGTCCTACACCATTGGCAACAGTGCTCACTACAAAGCTTAGAACTCTTCAGCTTCCAGAATTGTATGAGCCAATCCATAGAAATCTTACTTTTCAGTCTTTCTTCTCCTGCCCTCCTACCTAAGGGGAACTTTGACTAATACGCAATGATTTTGAATCCAGCTCCTTGCCAGCTCCAATAGTGAAGAAGTACTACTCTGCCATCCAAGATAATGAAGTGCTAATACCCCAGTTCCTGCAGTTCTCCTGATTGGTCCCAAATATAGAAAATGTTATGGAAAGATGTGGGATGGTGAGGGTGGGGGTGACAGACAGGAGACAGAGGCAGTTCCATTGCCACTGCTGTGAGGACAGATGCCAAGGGAAGTCCTGGTATGAAGGGTTAGGGACTTGAACTCTCTTGGACAAGAAAGCACAGCTTACATCAGTCTGTATGTGCCATATGCACATTGGCTTTAGGATCCAGATAACAGGCTTGGAAAATGTTGAAAGATTGAGAGAGTTAATGTTTTAAAAGGACAGTTTTTCTCAGAGGCCTTGTGATGTACATAGTGATGGACAGACACATGCCCAATGATGATAAAAGATTCTCAAGTTAAAATGAAAGTATCTAAGTGAAGAGTGAACAGGAAATAAGGCAGAGTATAAATAATATGATATCAAGTCTGTCTCTGGCAGTGCAAAGGCTTGCAATCTGTGGAGAGATATAGCAGCAAAATCCATATAATCAGCACATGGCTCTTACCCAGTTGCTATTGGGAGAAAAGCATTCTGTGGTGTGGAAATTAGCTCTGCTCATTCTTTACTTGGGCTGGAAAGTCTATTGACCTGTGTGTAGCATGTATTTTTATATTCAAACAGGGAATCATGATGCAGTGTTTATTAGAGACAATGTGCATAAACCATTTGTCATCTTCTGATGGGAGAGTTTGCCATATTTAAACTGAATGTACAAATGATTCTTCTGGTTTTTCTTTTTTTCCACATGATTGAGCATTTCCAATTCTTGCTTACCTTGCGTCACACCCTAAACACACACACATACGTGGGCACACACACATGCACACACAGAGAAGACCTCTTTCTATGTTAATTTCTATGTTAATTCACTGCTTGTTTGTGCACATAGGGGAGATAGATGAGGAGGAAGACGTCACTAAAAACCAAGTAGTTCATATTTTGGAAGCCAAGTCTGCTAAAAACCAAAATGCTGTCTCAGTGAGCTAATGACAGTTGATACTAACTGAACTCAGTCTTCTAGTTCAAGGTCAGCCATTCAAGTAGCATGAAGAAATCCTCTGAAATTTATATGGGCCCAAAGAATTCAGCTTCCTGTTCTTAGAGAATTGCATGAAAACTTCTTTCTGCAACTATCAATGAAAACATTTCACATAATTACAAAAAATATTTCTATAATATTCATCAGTCTAAGCTATTGCTTATGACTAGACGACTTTTACTATGCAAAGAAGCCTTTATCTTTTATATTTTTGCCTCTTAAATGTTTTTCATTTAGCAAGTATACTTGTATATTAAGTCAGAAACCCAGGGTAAATGAGTTTATTTTGTAAAGCAGTATTGAAATACTGTTAAGTTTATTTGAATCATGCCTGTAGTGCTCTTTCCCACTTGGAACTCTTAATTTGGGATTCTTTTGGTTGCTAAAATATTCCACTGCAATTAAAACATTTAAGTGTACAATATACAACAACTCTGTTAGTCTCCTTTTGTGGTCCATGAGGGTTCATGAGGAGCTCCTTTGTGGTCTAGAAATTTTATTAACTTGGACAGTTTCAATATAGTGCCTTCTTGCTCCTGAGCAGGATATTTATCTAAGGAAACCAAAGTCCAAAAACACCAGTGATATATGGACTCCAGACAGTGATTGTTCAAGCGAAATTCCTTGGTGTATATTACCAAAGGAAACATATTCATATTTTCTTCTCATATTTTCCATATCATGTTTGGATTATGCATTCTAAGACTGAGTTATGTATGCTAAAAATGAAAACACATTCAACTTACCGAAGAGATGTACCACAACCCACACCTCCTTCTTTCATTTTTGCTTGCATTGCTGTCATAAAATCATAGGCTAGAAAGCTTGAACAGTGAGCATTTATGTCTCCTGGTTTTGAAGGCTGGAGATCTGCCATCAAGGCTCCAGCAGACCCAGCGTGTGGTGAGGCCCTTGTCTTGTAACCTCATATGGCAGTGAGCAGAGAGTTCTAAACTCTTTGCTGTCTCTTTTCATAAGGGCACTGATCCCATCCTGTGGATGGTGGAGTCTACTCTACGCTTGTCACATGCCACAGATCCTGCCTGACACTGATACATTGGTTTTAACTTAGGAATTCTTCAGGGACACATTTAGTCCATAACCATTTTGTCCTCTGTCTTCTCACTTCATCCACACTCATTTACTGTTCAGATTAAGAACATCAGATTAAGCATGCACATTATATTTCCTTTCTCCCAAGACCCCACTGGAATGATAGTAGGGGACAGGAAGAGAATAAATGGAATGAGAGTGTTAGATTGCACCTGATTGCCAAAGCTGTCTTAGAGAAGGAAAGCTGATGACATGAGTGCTGGATATGGATGGGACAGTCAAAGTCCTGCAGTTTACAGTGGGTGCAAACCGCAACTTCCACCCCAACCCCAAGATAACAAACTCAGAGAGAGTGGCTGTGTGTACTTAGCAATTGGCTGAGAATTTCTAGGCCAGATATGAACTGAAAGTTACCAGAGGCATCCAAGTCTTTCACTACCAAGGACTCCTGATTCGTGGTCGTCTTGCTCTTAAGCAAATCCCAGTAACCAGAAAACCCTATGTTCAGACCCAGAGCTGCCAATTAGCCATTAGTAGAAAGAATAATGAATAATAAAATGACCACTACCACAATCACAAGCAGCTTTATCACATATCAATCATTTGCCATGCTTCCTTAAAAAAAGACACACGCGCTGGGAATACAGTCCCTTCCAATCTTATTCTCTCGTTTCCAGGAGGCCAGAGCTCCTGTGAGTTTAGTGTCAATCACTACCATGCATCTTTGATTACTATTCATATTCTGATTCTATGGACACACAATACAGTGTTACTTGTCATGTTTTCACATTTTTTTACAAGCAATGTTTTGCAGACACACTTCTATTTTTCTCAAAATTTTATCTTATTGGCACAAATAAATCTATTTAGCTCATTTTGGATATATCAAAATTTTATTTTATCCGACTCTTTTCAATTTTTAAATATTGCTACCATTGCTGCAGTGAATATTCTTGTGCAGATCTTCATGTGAATATGAAAGTATTTGTTTCAAGTCACCTTTAGGAGGGCATTTGGCTGATGCTAATGTAGGCACATGTGTAACTCTACCAAGGATGGCCCAGCTACCCAGATTACTTTTTTATGCTTGGCAATTAGACATGGGAGACGTATTCTCTGCTGTTGCTTTGCTTTGCACTTTCCTTATTACTAGTGAGATTATCTTTCTCCCCCATTCACATCTAGTCTATAAATTGCAGGACATCTATAAAATGTCCTGTAAATTTGTCCAATCACTTTAGTCTGTCTCACTTATGTTTTAGGAGTTTGAATAATTAATTGATACTGATTAAAAGACAATAGTTATGATACATGTGAAAGAACACTGTGCAGGAATTACAAGCATGTATTTTGTCATTAATGCTTTATTGGACACGTGCTTAATATGTCAAATTTTATTGAGTGCTTTTTTATCCTTTTATTTTATGGAAAGAAGTAAAACTAAATTTTATAACAAGATGACAGGAGATGACAATAGTTAATACATTACATATTATTATCTTTAAAGTAGTTATGGAGTACAAGGTATGACATAAAAAATTCTCCAATAAATGTTAGTGCAAATCCTCCTTTTCTATGAACTTAGAGATACTAATAATTTAGCTAACTTGCATTTTCTCCCTTTTCCTTTCCTTCCTTTCCTCTACCCCATCCTAGTTCTTTTTTTCCTTTTTAACAACTTCTTCCCATTTTGCAATGTTTATTATATATTTTAGGCCTTATTTATACCAGGGAGACAATACAATGTTTACACATATGAGTCTGATTTATTTCACTGAGTATAGTCTCAAGTTCAATCCATTTACCTTCAAATGACTCAAATTTATCTTTCTTTGAGCCTGAGTAGTTCTTCATTATATAAAAATATCACCTTTTTAAAATCCATTCATTGGTTGATGGGTATTTGGGTTGTTTCCAAGATTTAGCTATTACAAATTGTGCTGCTATAAACATGGGTACACATATATCACTGTAGTATAATGTTTTTAATTTTTCTATGAAGATACCCATAAGGATAATAGCTGGGTTGAAAGGGACCTCTAATCCTAACTTTGTGAGGAATCTCCATACTGATTTCCACAGTGGTTACACCAGTCTACACTCCCACCAACAGTGGAGAATTATTTTTTTTCCACAACCCTGCCAATATTTGTTATCGCTCAATTTCTTCTTAATGGCAAGTCTTTCTGGAGTAAGATAGAATCTCAGTGTTATTTTAATTTGCATCTCTCCAGTGACCAATGATGTTGAACATTTTTTTCATATATTTATTTGCCACTTATATTTCTTCATCTGAGAAGTTGATATTCATCTCAGATACCCATTTTTGGACTGGGTCTTTGAATTGGGGTGTCTGGTTTTTTCTATTCTTCATACGTTCTAGATAGTTCCTTTTCTAAGGTACAGTTGGCTAAACTATTTTCTAAGTCTGTGGGCTATCTTTTAACTCTGTTGATTTCTTTTTATGTGAAAATTTTTTTAATAAGATGAGATCCCAATTTTTGATTCTTTGAAGTATTTCCTGTGCAGTTTGGGTTTTGTTCATGAACTCTCTCCCTATGCCTATGTCTTCAATATTTATACCTACTTTCTCTTCCCATAAATTTAGTGTTTCTGTTTTAATGTTTATATTTAGATCCATTTTGGCTATAGTTTATTGCACGATGATAAACATGAGTCTAGCGTAAGTATTTGGCATACAGAGAATCAGTTTTTCCAGCACCATTTATTGAAGAGGCTATCTTTCTTCCAGTAAGCATGTTTGGCCCCTGCCAAGGACAAGGTAGCTGAGTATGTTTGTAGTTGTGTCTGCATCTTCTATTCTGTTCCCTTGATCCTCAGGTCTGATTTTTTTTGTGCCTGAACTGTGCTCATTTTATCACAATAGCTTTGTAGTATAATTTCAGGTCGGGATTGTGGTGCCTCTTGCTTTACCTTTGTTGTTCTGAATCGCTTTTGCTATTCTAGGTCTCTTCTGGTTTAAATGAGTTTTAGCAATGTTTTCTTCACTTCTGTGAAGTTGTATGCTAATGGTGTTCTGCTTGGGATAGCATTAAATCTGTGTAGCAATTTTGGGAGTATGGCATTTTCACTATATTTATTCTTCCTATCTACAAGCAAGGGGTATCTTTCCTTTTGTTGTATACCCTCTTCAATTTCCTTTTTCAGTGTATTGTAATTTTCAATGTATAGACCTTTTACTTCCATTTTTTAATTTGATATTTAAAACATTTAAATTTTATTTTAAAGAGGATAAAACAGAATAAAACCAATCAAAACAAACCAGTGTAAGAGATACAGGATTTCAGTAAATCCAAAATTGATACCATAATATATCTTGCTATCTTTGAAATAACTACTCCTACCATTAGATTTGATATAATCAAATAAAACAATGGAAATGGTATAAGACTTCCAAAACAACCATAGGAAATGGCTACAATCTTCAGAAGGAGATCTCCCTAGATGCCACACTGCATACTGCTATCCTCTGAACCTTTGACAGACTACTGGCCCTAGACCTGCAATGTTAGTGAAATACCAAAGCATCACAGGCATCCAATTGCATTTCACCTTGATAGCTACCATCACAGCCTGTGTTTTTCCAAATAAGCCAATTGTTTATGGAGGTGAGGGGGCCTGGTACTTCTAGTTTGCCAACCCACACTGGAAGAAGCAGGAGTCTGGCTGTTCCAGTCCAATGGCAGCCCGCACATGGTACTGATTCCCAGACTGGGCTTGCTTCCTGGTGTGGCCTTGTTTCCTCTACCAGAACTATATTGAATAGGAGTGGTGGTGGTGGACATCCTTGTCTTGTTCCTGATTTTAGAGTGAAAGCATTTAGCGTGATGTTGATTATTTGTTTGTCATAGATGATTTTTTTTATCAGATTAAGGTAAAGACAACTTATTCCAATTTTTTGTAGTATTTTTATCATGAATGAGTTTTGGACTTGTCAAAAGCTTTTTGTGCCTCTATTGAGATGATCATGTGCTTTTTGTCTTTGGCTCTGTTAATATGGTGTATTACATTGATTTGCATATGTTGAACAATTTCTGCACTGCTGGCATAAATTCTACTTGGTCATGGTGTATTATCTTCTTGGTAATTTGTTACAGTCTGTTTTGAATCTATGTTCATTAGAGAGATTAGTCTATAGTTTTCTTTTTTGGTTGAATCTTCTCTGGTTTTGGTATCAAGGTAATAGTTGCCTCCAGGAATGAGTTAGAAAGTATTGCTTCCCTTTCAATTAAACTAAAGAGCTTGAGGGGTATTGGCATTAAATCTTCTCTAAATCTCTTGTAGAACTCAACATGAATCCATCAGGACCTAGGCCTTTCTTTGTGGGTAAGTTTTAAATTTCAGTTTCAAGTTCATTAACTGATATTTGGTCATTCAGAATTTTTATAACTTTTTGATTCAACTTTGGTAATTCATTTATGTCTAGGGATCTGGTCATTTCTTCAGTATTTTCCATTCTGAGAGTAAAGATTTTTGAAGTAGATATTGATGATCTTCTGAGTTTCCACAAGATCTATCGTGACTTCACCCTTTTCATTCCTCAATGCATAATTTGAGTCTTTTTTTTTTGATATGGTCAGCTAAGGGTTTATCAATTTTACTTATTCTTTCAAAGAACCAATTTTTTGATTCATTAATTCTCTGTATTATTTTGTGAGTCTCAGTTTCATTAATTTTCTTCTCTAGTCTTTATAATTTATTATAATTTCCATGAACTTTGGGCTTGACTTGTATTTCTGAGATAAATCTAAATTTGTTTTTCTACCTTTTAGAAATTGCCAGAGTAATTTGCTAGTGCATTTTTGCTTTTATGTTTATACATGAGTTTGATTTCAGTGTTTTTCTTTTCCTTTCTTTGCATGGCCTTTGTTTAAAACATGAAGCATGTATTAGCATCAAAAAATAAATATAGTAAATGGGAGGAAGGAATAAAAGTAACTACAATCGTTTTCTCTCCCAAGAAAAATAGGTGTCTCTACCCTTGTAAATGTGTGTAAACAAGTTGATAACTGGATATCTTGATAAACAGATTATTGATATTTGGTGGGAGGAAAGATTATTTTCAAAATGCTTTTAGCAAGAAGTTCTGATTTAAGATCCTTAATGATAAACCTAGAATGTATGGTTTTGTGAGGTGTACAGCATGTTTATAAACTATAAAATTATCCAGTATATAAATGGAGATGTTTCATGACCTAAGAATTCCCCGCCATGTGAGGTAATAACCCATATATTTCAGTTAGAGGCTTCATGCTTCAGTTATTGCTCTACCAGGGAAGTGGCTTTGGAGAGGAAGACTGAGGAGTAATGTAGCAAATCTAAAAAGTTTCCCTGGTGTGTGTGTATGTGTGTGTGTATGTGTGTGTGTGTGTGTGTGTGTGTGTGTCCTGGAACTGGTTATTGAACTCAAGGCCATTGTACTGCACTATATCCTCAGGACATTAATTTTTTTGTATATATATATTGAGGTATAATTTAATCATTCATTAATTCTGCTATTGCTACTTAAAGCAAAAGTTAAAACCACTGATCTGCAGATTGGTCCTCTCTAGCCTTATTTCCCTGGATTCATGGGACCACAATCCCAGTTAATATCAAGTGCAGCCCAGTGGAGGACCCAGATAAGCCATCCCTTGACCGCTGACCCTCAGAAACTGTGAGATAAGAAGTATGCATTACAGTATTTCAGAGTTTGTAGTGCTGTTTTGGCACAGCAATAGACGGCTAAACTAATGCAGACTTCTTCATGGATCCTCCTATCAGGCTTTCTGGCGTGAAATTTCCTGGTGTAATCTGATTACTGTCACATTGCATACTCAGTGAGTGTGCCCCTCATAGGGACCTTGGTAGCCCTCTGGGAACAGTGATCTTTTCAAGACAAATCAAACACAAGGAATATAGTGAAGTACATATTCTTTTCCATGGGTAAGTTCATGTCCATGGAGAGGAATGTTTCTTTCATTATTGACTCTGTCAGGGCAATGCCAGTAAGTTTCTTATCTTTAGGTGTTCTGTGGTAAGTTTTAGCCTCTAATCTTGGTTGTCACCTAAACTTGAGAGATACTTATCAGGGTTTTCCAAATTATCCATGGAACTCTGCTGGGTCTCTTAATAGACAGGAGCCATACATTTATGCACTTTAGCAAGCATGCAATCAAATGTTTCCTCCTAAAAGTATCCCATATTCTATGAGTGGTTTTCTGGAAGCTTGTTTGACTTGAGGTGAGGAGAGGGGCTTATGATGACCTCTCTGCTTTTTAAAAAAATCACCTGTTAGTATGGTTTGTACTGATTGTTACTTTTTAAATGTATGAATGTCTTGTTGCTTGTACAATATTCTCAGTTCTGAGATTTCAGCCCAAATTTTGCTGATGAGACAAAAGCTTTTCATTTAACACGTTGTTCGTGTCATTATCTTTTTGTTGTCTGGAAATGCATTTGTCTTAGTCACTTTCTCATCATGGAGACACTATAGCTGACACCCACCCTAAAGCATAGGAGGTATTTTGGCTCAGAGACTTCAGCCTGTTAGTCATCTGGCTCCAAGCAAGGGCATCATGGCAGGGGCATGGCAGAGGAAGGGGAAGGAAGACAGACCCTTCTGGGTCACTGTCCCTGTGGCCCATTTCCTCCAACCAAGATCCACTTCCCAAATCACATTTAGCTATGAATGTATCATAGACTAATCTACCAGTAAACGTTACATCACAATGGTTCAGTCACCTCTCAAAAGCCCCCACCCATGAGCACATGGGCTTTTAGAGGACATCTAGGTAGAAACCATAACGGCATATTTTTCTAGCCTTGTAGTTGAGGAGGTGGGATGTCAAATGTGGGGTGAGGGAGTGTTATTTTTTTAAGAAAAGAAAATGAAAAGGAAGTAAGAAAGTAACCTGTTGCTTCTAAGAATGGACTCTCCTTGTCACTTTTCCTCAAAGGCTATTAACATTTCTCTAAAGGTCCAGAGAAAAGAGAAATAATATCTCTAAACTGATGAGCAGAGACTATTGAGAGCTCATTGATTAGCAAATTCTGAAAGATTCCTGGAGTCCAAAGGTCATAAAAGATGAGAAAAATCCTTGAGAGTTAAGAGTAAGACCAAGCAAGAGAGGAAGTAAATGATGAAGAGTTCATGGAGGCCTGGATGGGCCTCAGGTGCACAACCTACTTCCTTGCACTAAAGGTTCATTATAGCTTTCTTATTGTATTTGCTCTTCTCATCAACCTGTTACTTTGTGTTTCATTTTTTTTGAGTGGATAATATGCACTATCTGCTTTCTTTAAAGTTGAATTTCCAAAACCCAGGTGAACATGAGGGGTCATTTGGAAATCACAAGAATTATTTGTAGGCAACAACATGAAATTTGGCCCAGTGACAGGACTGCTTGCATAGGGGATGTTTGTTCACATGAACCATCCTTGATTTCAGAGAATTCCACCATCACCATTTTTGTAACTTAAAAGGGTTCATCCTTGGTCTAGGGTTGCATGTAGAGTCACAGCTGGGACTGTTTGTGTCTAAGAGAACTCAGCAACAGAAACATCCACATTTTCCACACATCTGTATCCTGGGTTTGGCTCAGATATGATCTAACTGGCAATGGAAGTCATTCTAGGAACAGACACTGCAGGGGACCTTCCTGATGATTCTGCACATATGACAGAGAGTGTCATATACACCGCAACACACAAGTGAATACTTTCTTTGCCCAGGTTTGGTCCCTCTCCCTCTTCAGTGGTGCTGCCCTTCAGTTCTTGTAGCATGGGACACACAGAATAGAGTCATCTAAGAAAGTTCTACATTCTGGTTTTTTTTTTTCTTTGTCTTAGAGTTTGTTTTTTGAGACAGGGTCTTGCTATATAATTCAAGCTGAGCTTTAACTCATTTTGTAACCCAGGCTGGCCTTGAGCACAAGACAATTTCCCCGTTTCAGTCTCCTGAGTTCTGGGATTACAGGGGTGCACCACCACACTCAGTTTGCCTTTCAGTTTTGAATCTGGTCACGAGGGGCTTCTTAATAAAGAGGTTAGTAAAAGCTCTTTACAACTTTTAGCTTTATTTTATTTTTAAACATAGAATGTAGAAGTCAAGTTAAGGATTATAGAAAGTTCTGGGTGTATTTTTCATATCACCTATACTTTTACACTTTGTTGAAACTGCATGAACCAAAAGATGACGAAGAAGTGATGTTTTTCCTCCTGGGCAGAAACTGTCTTGCCAAGGTTGCTTTTGGGCTGCTTGTCATGTTTGTGCTTCTCTTTGAGTTTTTCATTGTCTGCACTTGATTAATGTAGTTGACTGCTAATCAATATTAGCAGCCCGGCTAGTAGCGATATTACTGAATTTTAAATGATCTTTAAAGATACATTCCAAGAAGCAATCACTTTTAGGGCTGTATTTGTTATCACAATGTTGACAACCTTGATATCAGGACTTTAATATCCGGTGGAATAATGGAATTTCTACCCAACACAGATTTTCTCTGCCTTTGTTCTATAATAATTGAATATTGCTTTAGGCTGGTGAATGGTGTTATTTTCTCAGTCTCTTTTTATCTAAAGATTTTTAAAGGGGTTTCTTTCTTCTTGCCATAGAATAGATGTGAGAGTAAAATGGCACAGGGGAGGCACTTATCTAAGAGGGAGAACTTGTTTGCTCTTAGCCTCGCAGTCACTGTCTGCAGCTCAGAGCTGATGGTCTACAGGTTGTGTATGTGCTGTTGGCCCCTCATTGCTGGGTGACAGGAAGGTGACAAGAATCTAATGAAAGTGCTTTGTGGAGGTGAATGCTGGGGATGATAAGATTGTTCACATAAAGTCAGAAAATCACAAGATCTCAAATACTTTTGAGTGACTCCCAATTGCTTGTAGGGGAGGCGGGGAGATGCTCATTCTGTTTATTTTGTTTCAGTTCTCTACAGGAATGGCTCATTGATGGTTTAGTGTTTATCAATTTTTCCATATCTGTTTATTAATTAACATAAAAATGAGAATGTGTAGTGTCTATTGTTATTGGCAGGCAAGATGACCCATTTTTATATTCAGGAATTTTGCCAATCATACAACATCCAATATTATTTGTTGTAGGTTGTTAATTGTATTAGCTAATGAGCATTTGGAGTATCAGCTGTGTGCAGTTCCTCTTTCTAGACCCAGGTTAATTTAGGGGTTATATCTGCTGCTACTGAATTATGTCCCATCCAACACATATACCACTTGTGTACTTGGGTCTGGTTTCCTGAATTGCCTGGTACATTCCCTGAGTCAGAGACTGGGTTGACTTTTCTCTTGATTTGCCATGCCATGACCCCTGGTAACTACTGTGTGAATTGATGGGAATGAGAATCAAACGTGAACCTCTAATCTGGAGAAACTGTTAATTAGCAAGGATTGTGTTTCATTGTTTTGTCTTGAATTATTTTCTCTTCTAAGTGGGTTGACTTAGAACCCATGGAAGGAGTAAGGGAGACAGAAGTGGTGGCACACATCTGTAATCCCAGTCCTCTTCGAGGCTGAGGCAAGAGCGTGGCCAGTTCAATTGCCCAAACCTGGGCAATTTAGTGAGAACTTGTCTCAAAATACAAAAAATAAAGAAAGGTTGGGGATGTTATTTAGTGGAAAGACCCTGAGTTCAATACTTACTACTAGGGGAAAAAAAGAAAAGGAAAAAAAATAGGGAAATCCCTATCAATTCATCAGTAGAAAAACTCAAGGAAGTTACTCTAACCTAAAATGTGCTCTAAACCAGCGTCGCCACCTTTTTGGCACCCAGGAGTAGTTTTGTGGAAGACAGCTGTTTTCCATGAGGACGGGGACTGGGGAATGTTTTCAAGGATTGGATTCTCCTAAGCCACTGCAGCCTAGATTCATTGCACGTGCAGTTCAAAGTAGGGTTCGAGCTCCTATGAGAATCTAATGCCCATTTAAGCGATAGGAGGTGGACTTCAGGTGGTAACGCTAGTGAAGAGGAGTAACTGTAAATATAGATGAAGCTTCCCCTGCTGGCCTGCACTGGCCCCCGGCTCTGTGCCTACAGCTGGGGACCCCTGTTCTAAAACACGGAGATCTTTCAGTAAATGAATGAGAAGCAATTGTAAGGGTACAGTTATAGAATAAGAAACATAGACATGTTATAGCAAATTAAAATCAAATAGCACCTTCTGCTTATGCTCCTGCTGCCTATCATGTGAACACCCTACTGAATTCAGGGTCCAACTGCTTTTACCCTGACAATGTGCTGGGTCAATTCGACTATTCTCAGCTTATGTTTCCCTTAATTAAGAAGATACATTGGCTCTAACTGGTTTTTGAGGACTCTGTTTGGGGTGAAGTAACCCATCAAAGATACTTTTTAACTCTACCTGTCCCACTTGAACCCCTTCCCCTCATCCCCAGAATGTTCCTATGCTTTGACAAACAATTCTTTTAAGCAAATGATTTTAGAGTTAGTTTTCCTGACAATATATGACTTAGTTCAATCCATGTAGCCAATCATGTAATGCTTTGCACTTCCTGCTTGTAACCTATATTTATTTATTTATTTTTTAAAATTTTATTTAAAAGGAAAAAGAGAAAAACACAAAACAAAACAAAGTGGTGTAAACTATTTCTAAGATGATAATATGTAATCTATTCACTGTAACCTATATTTAAACTAGACTCAAAGCTGGCTTTTTGCTAGTGATTTGGACTTGGTCTTACGAGCCTGCAGGCGTGATAAAAAGCTGTCTTCTAACACCTTGCTACGAAGAGTCTTCCATTCAATTTGAGACTGTATTTCCCGTACTACAACGAAATCTTTGTGTAAGGTTTGTTGATAAAGATAATAATAGCTAGCACCGTCTGAGTACTTTGTATGCAGAGTATTTTCTCATCTTCACTGCAGGCTTAGGAGTAGGTGGAGGGTCTAAAACAGTGATTTGCTTAAGCTCACAGAGGCTGAAGCCAGGGCTGAAGCTAGAAAGCACCTGGCAGCTGATGCTGTGCTCTGCCTGCTGTACCCACTGTGTGGGACATCTGGGCGTCAGAGCTGTCCTCAGGAAGCTGGTCAGGTAGAGCTTCCAGGTGTGCCTGGTGTTTTCACAGAGACACAGCTGGACTCTGCTCTCTTCCTGCTGGCACAGAACGGGGTAGAACATAACAATTTTGAGTAAGTACATCAGCTGTACATTAGCAATTAGTATATTTGAAGTATAAAATCAGGAAAACTTGATTAAAACTATGAAAAGTAAACCAAAACTCCAAGCCCATAAATTGTTCCATAAACATGTTTTGATAGATGGCAGGAGAATAAGGATATGCTATTTAGAATGAGTTTTTCTGGAACTGAGTTTTGAAAATGGAGTCAGCTCGATATAGTAGAAAGAAAAGTTAGAATTCATGAGGAATTTGGATGAACTCTATGAGACAGCATAATTAAGCCCAGCAGACTTCTTCCTTCTAAACAGAGAAGTAAAGTCAAGAGGGACAGCTTATATTGCTTCATCCTGAACCTTGGAAAATCCTGTCGAGTCCTCAGTGATTAGGAGATTGTGGGCCTGAAAAGGTTCATTAGTTAAGTAGTAGCCGGGGGTAAAAACCCTCCATGACCTGAAGAGCCAACTGTGGAATTTAAAGAGATTAGATAGATTTCTTTTTTTTTCTGAAAACATAACCATAAATTTAGGGACTATGAAAAAGAAGTCACAAGAAATGAGAGGTACCACAGTAATGAAATCTATAGAGAGATAGGCATCAAAAGAAAAAGTAACCTTGTCTACTAGCAGACAGTTTAATAAGAAAAAAAATTGTGGAACACAGGGAGAGAAACTTCTGCTAAACTAACACAGCTCTTTTCCTACTGGCAGACAGTGCCACTGGGATCCTAGGTAGGAGGATGTTGTGTAAAATCACTGATGTAATGACAGGTCACGACAGGAAACAGCAGTTGTCAGGAAGACTGGGAAAGCTCTTCAACCTGTTTTCAGGGACAAGTGGTAGATACCATAACCCCAGGGGGAGTAGCATATAGGTAAGCGCTAGAGATCCTGGAGTCTAGTCATCTGGAGCAAGGCCCTTCACCAACTCTTGTCTCTTCCTTCCATCTAATGGGAATGCAGGCTTCTATATTAGTGAGAAATAAAAGGAAACTTGGGATGCTGTAGTTCTCATAAATGTATATATGGCTCAATATACCACCTGACTTCTTTTAAGCAATAATGGAAATAAAATTGCTCTTGGGAAACTGAACCAAGCAAACAATTTGGGCATCTTTACTGTGGATGTGTGATCCATGTTTAGGGAGCAATTTAGTGGATGCTTGAACTCCCATAGTTAAGCTTGTCTGTTTTGCTGGTTTATTGTGATGGGATTGGCATAAATTACTTTCTGCCCTTGAAGTTTTGAATTGTTTGAATGTGAAGTGAATTTTGACCTTTCAAATCTTGCAGTCATATGAATGCCTTCCATGACTTGTCATGTGGGGTAAACTGCCAGTTTGCTTCAGGAGCTCACTTCTTGTTTCCATCTGTTTCACTGAAGGCCAGTGTAGTGTCTGCTTCTCTGTGATACATGAATAATTGATTTCTCTTGGAAATTAGGGACCATAAACTTAAGTAGAACAGAAGAGAATAGAAGATAAGAGCAAGGGATCTGCTCTAAGTGTCTATTCTCTCTAAGCAAGCCATCCCTCATGAAAATCATTTGGTGAAGTCCACTGTAGTCTACCTGCATGTAGTCTTTATTGAGATGATCTTCATGAAACCCAGTGGAATTTTGCACTATTTACACGAGGTGTTCTCTACCTGAAATAGTTAAAATTTTATAGGCAAATACTAGGTCTAGGCCTATATCTGAAACCTATAAATCCAGCATGTTGAATTTTGATTATAGGAATCAAATCCATGTAAATACCCATTTTATTTTACTTTGTAGCATATTCCGAATAACATCCTGTCCTAAATTTATATGCAAGCCTGACTGAGAAACACAAGCACCCTAATACTGAACACTTTTTAGTTTCTTATTTTTAAAATCTGCTGTAGTCTTCCATGGAGAGTAAGGCTATTTTTATAACTACTGATTTCAAAGTATTCTCTCTGCAACTGGCATTATTTTATTTGTTCTTTCCTACTTTGTAATATGTGTTTCTTTTCTCTTTTTCAGAGCAATAAAGAAAAGAAAAATAAAATGGAACACATCTTGGATTGCTCTTCATCTAAAGCTGTTGCTTTTTATCATTTTGAAATTGCTCAGTCCAAACCCTTGAAGTACTATTTTAAAATAAGGGGAATTATATGAAAGTACAGAAAAAGGTCCAACTTATAAAAATTGCTCTTTTTAAAACACATATATAATAGCTTAAAAATTTAGAGCTCAGCAGCAGAAAGCTGTAGCTTAGGGATTTGCGGGTCCTTATAGTACAAAAATTGCCTAGGTTTAATGACATCCAAAGATGGGGAAAAAAATCATCCTGGGCTCCTTCCCAGTAGCAGGAATCATGGTTCTCACAGCACATGCTGGGTGCATCTAGCTACTTTTAAAATAGAAATCTACTTCTCTGAATGCTGGATACTGTGTTACTGGGAAGGAATTGTTCTTCATTGCCCCCAGATTTGTCCTGTGCATCTTGCATAGTCTGCCTTTAATGTTGTTACCCCTATTAGTATGAGTTATCTTTTTTATTCCCACTAGGTCTTTAAGTATGTTGAACTTTGTTCTCAGTACATATTTTGAGTTCTTTAAGTCCTTAAGGTGGTAGTTTTTCTACTGTTTTTGACTTTGTAGAACAAATTGTTTTATGTCATAACCCATCACACACCCATCACACCTGTCACACCTCTCTCTCTCTCTCTCTCTCTCTCTCTCTCTCATACACACACACACACACACACACACACACACACACACAGATTAAATATTTCAGGAAACAGTATTCAAGCTTAATGCAAGAATATTTTTATCTGTTCTATTAAAATTCTGAAGAAGAAGATTTTGGGTACTCACATCTTACTAGTGCTGGTTTGAAGGGGGAACTGCTCTTAGTTTTCTTGTTTTATTTCCAGGATGGGGACACAACCATAGCTGGAATCCAGGAATGGAGGCATAGACTTTCTGACCTTGAAAGTGAAATTCACAACCTATATTTCAGTGTGCATCTGACCTTGCAGAAAAGACTGATGTACTTATATTTTAGTCACATCTTGTAATCCTTGGTGCATATCTAGCTGGCCAGAGTGTTATGGGTTTCAGCCCAGAAATAGAAGGAGAACTCATATCAGCAGCTCATACTTACTCTTGCTCTTGTGCTCTGGGGAGGTAGTTTTAGTGCTAGAAAGTCAAAGTTTAATAACTGATACCTCTCTCTGTCTATGAGCACCAGTCTCAGGCCTGTGTTGCAGTGATATGAGGACTGAGCTTGGGTTAAGAACCAAGCCAGGGATGAGAAGAAACACCTAGAAATTCCAAGTTTAGTGGCCAAGTTCAGTAGGTGGTATCTGCCATCCTGGTACACAGTTCAGGAAGTGGTAGCTACTCCAGTAGTTTCATTATACTAACGGTAGAGACAACTGCTTGATGAGCTACTCAGCACTTAACTGCCATCTCCAATCAGGGCACATTTAATGAAGCCACCCAAATTAATGAGTGTAAGCTGTCAATGCGGCGTCAGCTGAAAGGAAAGTGAAAGGAGTGAAGAAGGAGATTTCTGTGCTTTTTAAAAGAGAGGTGAGCTGTTTTTGTTATAAATCGTTTTGGGAGTGACAAGTATTATGTGAAAGAAAATGAATATTGCTTCTTCTCACACAGAGTAATTATCTGTAGACCTCAGAGTTAAAAATAAAACCTAAGTCATTTAGGAAGATGGCTGCGCAGCCTGTGAATTATTGAGTATTTCAGCTCATTGCAATGAACTGTTAGCATAAATAATAAAACATTTAAAGTTATTAGCTTTGAACCTATTGTTAAGTATCTGTATATTTCTGACTTTTTATATATTAAATTAAGAAAGACTGTGGAGAGAACACAACATGGATAAGGCAGGAGCATCTTAAATATTTCCTGGTTCATTCCTTTTGGCAGCTGAGTAAACACAGGTCATTTCTGGAAAGAGGTGAAATAAAAAAAATCAGCTTCATCAAAGACACACTGTTATGAACTGCTCCAAGTGAAAACTCTGTCTCTCTCAGTGTCCAAAGACAGTCCTACTTGCCAATTAGCCCTGAAACTATCCTGTCTTCCTTGTTTGGCCTTCAGGTTTTTATTTTATCCTTTAAGTTCAATTATCTTGCTCTCTTTTAAATAGCTCATCTAGCAGTGTGAGAAGGTGATATTAGTTTGCCTGCCACACAAGTTGCCTGCAGTCTCATGCAGGTTAGCCTTTGCCTAAATTCTTCCAACACAGTTGTAAGAAAGTTTAAGAGTTGCATGTATATGGTTTTAGTTGTAATGATCGACTTTCCAATTAATAGTTCTATTTAAAATAGAGTGTGGAGTTGGCTAGACCATTGCTTCTTCTACAGTGGACTCATCTCCACTTGTATTAAAAGTAGGAGGGTTTGAGAGAGAAAAAAGATGACGGATAGATAACAGCAGCTACAGAGGCTCTCTGAGATAGCCAACTTAGATTCCAAAAATAATACAGCATGGGGAGTCCCAAACAGAGGGAGATACACCCTGCCAACCCAGGAATGAACTAAACTAAGAGAAACCAATTAAAAATACAGTTCTGGTGCTACGATTGGAAAAGCTAAAGCCTCGGTGCTGCTGCTGGAACTCGCGGCTTGAACACCCTCCTGCTGCTGCATCTGAATTGGCACAGCCGGGATAGCCCGCTAGTTTCAAGTCACTGGAGATGCAAATGCTCTGAGAGTGGGAATCGGTGAACCAAACTGAGAGCAGAGCTGGTGGGGAACCCTGCATCGATTGGCAGTGATTGAGGAGAATAAAAACCCTTCCATAGACAAAAGAGGCTCCAACAGACGACCTTCTGGGACTGGGCAGACTAGCCAGAACAAGGTGCTGCAGTGACTTCAGGCAGATATTCCCTTCTCAAGTGGGATTGATGTGGAGCACTTGACCTGGGTGACACCATGGGCTGAGGCCCTATAGGCTAGCCCTAACCAAGTCCCTATGCCGGATAGTGTACCCTAACGCAGTGAAGCCTTCAGTAGGTTGACCTGGGGGGTGGGCCCAACAGAGGCTGCCCCGGTCTGTTCCTCCTAATACATTGCAGTGGGCAGGACCACCTAGTCAGCGTGCTTCAGACAAACTGAAACTGACAAAGAAAGAAACTGGGCCTCCTATATATGCCTGTATGGGAAGAACAAAAAATATGAGAAGAGGAGGCAACAAGAAAGGGTCCTTGGTCCCCAGTCCTGAGAATACTGATCCAGGAAAGATAAATGCAAAGGAGAATGACAGAAAACATGCAATATCAGGCATGGCACTAATAGACATAAAGTGATATCTTGAGGACCTCATAGATGAGTTCAAAAGTGAAGTATTTAACCAAGTAAAGCAAGATATAATTAGAATAATTAAAGAAATGCTAAGTACCTCTCAAGAAAAAACAGATGGTAGAATGGAAGAACAGAAAAGAAAGGAGAGAATTGTTTGATGGAAAAAATAAAGAAAACATAGAATACATGAAGCAATTTCAAAGAGATTACCAGGAAACTAAAAACTCTATTGAAAGCTGGCATAACAGCTTAAAAGAAACTAAGGATAGATTATCCGAACTGGAGGACAAGTTTGTAATGTGGGAACGTGAAAGGAAAAACTTCTTAAAAATAACAAGGAAACAAGCAGTAACAATACAAAGGCCAGAAGATGACAAGAGGATCTATAACTAAGGAATAGAGAATGTGAATGAAGAAGCAGGGGTACAAACAAAGGAACTACAAAGGCTATTCACAGAAATAAGGAAAACTTCCCAAACAGAGGGAAAGGAAAAGATGCCCAGATGTATGAGGCATACAGAGCTCCAGCCACCTACAATCAAAATAGAACTACACCCAGGCATATAATAATTAAGATTCCAGAAACCCAATATAAGAACAGAATATTAAAAGCTGTCAGAGACAAGAAACAGATCATTTACAAGGGAAAACCCATCAGAAATACAACAGACTTCTCAGCATAAACCATCAAGAAGAGCCTGGAGTGAAATATTCCAAGTCCTGAAAGAAAATAACCTGTATCCCAGGTTGATATACCCTGATAAACTGTCTCTAAAAATTAATGGAGAAACAAGATGCTTCCAAGACAAAGAGGAACTGGGGGAATTCACAATCACCAATCCAACTCTACAGAGAATACTACAGGACATTCTAAAGAGAGAGAAAAGCACAAAGATTTCAGGAACAATGGCAGAGGGGCCCCAATGAATGGAACAAAAAGCGAAATGAAGAAGACAAACAGACAACTAATGATGAAAAAAGAGCACAACAGAAATGAAGCAGAGAAGGTTGGATATAATCTCTAATATAGATGGCCTAGATACCCTAACTTAAGGGAAAAAAGAGAGATTGGCAGGCAGAGTGGATCAAGAAGTAGAATCCACCGAGAGGCACTTTATAGGAAATATAATTAGCCTGAAGAAGGTTATATGGACCAAAATCAAATATGAGAAAACAGAACTTGATGTGATAGGGAACCAGAGAGTAATAGGGGTAACTGGACCAGTATTTATGGATAGGTTGAACAGATAGACTTTAATAAATGAAGAAATATAACTAGAAATCCAGTCCAGGAGTGAGAAAGTTCGGAAACACTTAGATAAATAGCAGGTTGATCTCCCTAATATAAAACTATGAGTGTTGGGGAGACCCAAAAATACACTTCATCCTGGGAGTGAAAGAGGAGGAATAGTCTTTACAAAAACTGCAGAAGATATCACTAATAGTATATCAGGAATTAAAACCCTTATTATTCGCACCCTCTGCTTGGATGGAATTTGTTCTCTCCTAGTTTGTATACAAGCACTGGATCTGAGGGCACAGACAGCTGTCCCGAAGATATCAGGACATAGCACAGTGGTCATCTTTAATTTCCTATTAACTCAATCAGGATCCTTGTATGACTTATACTGTTGTATCATGACTGATCTTAGTTAAATCTGACTTGTTTGATTGCTGCTTATTATTGACAGATTTTATTCAAAACTGTTAGGTTGCTGGTATCAAGTTGAGGAGTATAGACAGCTATACTGAAAATGACAATGATTCACTATGATACCCAATCTGATTTGATTACTACCTGTTTTTGTAGCTCTGCACTATCTACAAAGTTGTATTTCTATTAATACTGCTATGTACTGATATATTCAATTATACTTTATCTGATGATATAGCCAATTCTGTTGATGATAACAAGAAACAGCACAGTGACTATGGTAGAACTCCTTATACAGCAGTTTTATATGTCTTTTTAGTTTTATGTGTCTATAAGAATATATTTAGTTCTGTCCTGCTTTGTTCTGTTTTTCCCTCTAATATAGAAAGGATAGAAATACATGTTAAGACTCATGCTTGCATAAAACCTATAAACGGTTTATGAGAACTGATCTTATGACACATGATGAAATGAACAAATACTCTGAAGGAAAGAAAGGGGCACTGCAGTACCCAGTGCTGATTCTGGAGTGTTATGATGTGAAATCCAGCAATATTATTAATTTTTGTTCAGGATTTTAATCTAATTAGTTTAGTTAGGTCTTAACATAAATGAAGATATGGATAAATACATACATGTCTAACTATAGGATTGATAGCCATATTACTTAGTTTTTGTTGGATAGTTGAACAGAACTGTTTGCAGTCTCCCTGATTGAATTCCCATTTATATGTTCCACTTTTGTATCTTGAACAACTATTTGTGGGTGGACAATATATATATACATCAACTAGTGATTTATCACTGTTTATTTCTTTTCTTTGAAAGTATATACTATTTCTGCCCATTTTCTATTTTGTTTTGTCTTTCTTTAAATAAAAAAAGTAGGAGGCTTCTCACTTTAATAACCTTAATAGGTGGCTAAATCTCAAAGTGTATCATCGGTAACCTATCTCTTTTTACGAGATTGGTTTACTGAAGAGAACAAATACCTGCCTTTCAAGACCAGTTTGCATGGATCAGTGAGAAAGGAAGGTTTTCTTGCACACAAAAACAATGGACAACAAATTGCTTCCTATTTCAGACAATGGTAAATTTCAGACACACTTATCTACTGCCACTTGGTGAATTAACTCTTCATGCTATAACTTTTTGTGACTTTCAAGATGCAGGATTTCATCAGACTGTAAGTCACCCAGAAAAGGGAAGTTATTTGAGGTGTGTGTGTGTGTGTGTGTGTGTGTGTGTGTGTAATTTATATGGGAACTGGAAGTTGAGCACTCCTACTCTGGAAAACGCAGAGAGGTCTGAATGCTTTTACTGTGGTCAGTACCATCATTCATTCTTACACATGTAACCCCTTTTAATTTTTCAATAAGACAAAAATATTTTGTAATCAACTATTCAGAGCAATGACAGAGAAAAAGAAATATTTTATGGAGAATCAAATACTGCATTTTAATTTTCCCCAGGAGAGCTGATGAAGAATGTGTGACTTATATCTATGATCTACCAACCAGAAGATAGGGTTGTCAGTGACCACAAGAAAACCAAAACAACATTCTAATGAATGGACATGATTTCCTAAATAGCTGACACGAACAATTCTGGCATAACAGGTGTGCCACATTGCCTTGATGCCTCGGCTGTGTGACAGCCTGTCAGTCTGGCTGCATGTAGACTGCAGATGGCTGTGTCATGGGAGTGTGCAGCACACAGGGTGCTGAAGGTAATGCTCACCAAGGTGCAGCTATATTGTGAAGCTCTGCATGCATGTGTCCCTCCAAAATTCATATGAAGACTAATAATCAAGGCGATTGATATTAGCAGGACTTTGGAAAGTGATCAGGCCATAAGGATTGGAGCACTCATGGATGGGATTAGTGTTTTGATAAATGGGTCCCAGAGAGCTTCTACTAGGTGAGGACACCCATGAACAAGGACATTGCCCCTCACTGAACACCCAGCTGCTAATCTCTACAACTGTGAAAAAAATTTCTTTCTTTCTTTTTTTTTTTTTTTTTTGTCTTTTTTTCATTTTTTATCGGTACCAGGGATCGAACTCACGACTGCCTGCTTACAAGGCAGGCGCTTATGCCGCTGAGCTAAATCCCCCCCCCCCAAATTTCTGTTGTTTACAAGTTTCTTTGGCTGCAGAATTTTGTTACAGCACCCCAAACGCACCAAGACAAATGTCATTATATTTAAATATGTAATACAGAATGATACAAACAGTAGAAATCAAAAACATTGACGGGAAAATGGCGCTCATTTTATGAGATTCTAATAGTTTTAAAATGAGCAAGCCATGAGTATTCTGAAAACAAAAACAAAATCACAGGGCCTGTGTTACCATGCATTGTAACTGTGGGGATGAGAAGAGGGTGCCCTCGTCATACCAGGCTACACTTTGGCATGTGAAATCTCTCTAGCAGGTGTCCTTACAGTGGAGAGGACATGGGCCACCATTAAAACGTGGTGTCAAGAGAACTTTCATTCACAAATGAAGTATTTTTTAAAATTTAATTTGTGATTAATGTGTATTAATGGCACACACTGATAGAGCTCAGAGTGATGCTTCAATATTGGCATACAGTACACACTGATCAAATTCAGATGCCCCTCCCCTTACCCACAACCCCAAATAACCAGGATTCTACAGTCAAGGCAACTTGTTTTAAATTCCCACTTACGACAGAGAACATGCGTTAATTCCCCTTCTGGGTCTGGCTTATTTCACACAATGCAGGGGTTTTTTCCTCCTGCTTCTTCTCCATCTTCTTTCTCTTTCTTCTTTTAGTGGGCATTGAAAACAGGGTGTACTGAGCTACACCCCTAGCCTGTTTTTCGTTTCTATTTTGAGACAGGGTCTCCTGAAAGTAGGATTGCTGGATCATACATAGTTCTATTTTAGCGGTGGAAGAGTTTCCACACTCTTCTCCATAATGATGTACTAATTTACATTCTCGCAAAGAGTCTGCGACTGTTCCTTCTTTTCTCCATCCTCAATAGCACCTGTCATTCAGTTTTCGACCATAGTTGTTCTCGCTCACGTAAGATGATTGTAATCCAACTACCAAAGGGCAAATGCTCTGACTATACCCCAGTCAAAAGAAGGGATACAAACAGCTAAAAATACATGAGAGAACACTCAGTATTGTTATCCACTGGGAAAATGCAAATCACAGTGATACTGGATTCTTTTGGTCAAAATCACACATCCAGGAGTATGATCAGGGCGCTCTTCGGTTTTCACTGAGATTTGTTTTCTCATTTGATCTTTGCAGGAATGCTGTGGTGGCAATGTTTTCTGACTCAATTTTCCAAGTCCAGCTTTCTAACTCTAAATCCAGACTTATTCGTTTGACCTTTTGAGTTCATTGTCTTAGTTCTCGGTTTCCTCCCCCTCAGAACCCTTTCTCCCACCTAAAGTTTTAAAGTGGTAGTTTTAGAATCTTGAAGATTTGTGCCCCCCTCCCTCTATTTTTGTTTTTCAATGGTGGAGATTGAACCACACATGCTATGCAAGATATCTACTACCCCCAATCCTTTTGAACTGTTGGGGACAGTTTTCTTGCTAAGTTGTTTAGGTTGGCTTTGCAATTGCTATCGTCCTGCCTCTACCTCCCGAGTAACCGGAATTACAGATGTGTGCCATCTTATCTGGCAAAGATTCCCATTTATCTTGAGCATATAAGAAGAAGGCAATATTGTGATGGCTCTGAAGACTGGTCCTTGGGTTTCGTGTAAAATGAGGTGGGGTTTGATTTAGAGAACTATTATGAGGACTAAAGAGTTGATCTTTGAGAAGTATTTAGGATAGCGAGTGCATGGCAAGTAGAGATCAGTGATGCCAACTCTTATTGTCAGACATTGTGATGCACAATTCAACAGATCCCAAGTGCTGCAACACAATATTTGAATAGTGCTTATGCTGCTGAGCTATACTCCTGGCCCTTGGGTTTATCTTTCATTCAGCATACTGATTGTGACATATACTGAAACCATTGTTTCCATCAGTAGTTTTTCTCACTTTACTGCTGAACAGATCCCAAGTGCTGCCAGGAACACCATGGTCCACATCCTGCCAGGAGCACCTCAACAGTGACCTAGCTTCTTCCTTGCTAAAGTTTGTGATTAATGGTGGAGACAGATATAGAAGAGATATAATGAGGTATATGCAGGGTTAGAGTTTTGTATAGAAGATGTACTTGATTTTCAAAAGCTTTATTGAAGTATTATTCAATATATTGCCTATATTTGAAGTATACAGTGTGGTAAGCTTTGGCATACATCTAAGCCATGAAACCATTACCCCAATCAAGATAATGAATGTCACCGTGATCCTCCCAACTTCCCCTTTAAAATCCTTCCCTCTTCTTTCAGGCGATCATCAGTGAACTTTCTATTGCTATGGGCTAGTTTTCATTCTTTAGAATTTTACCAGGTGTAATCATTTTGAGCTTCACTCTTGTGTTGCATGGACCACGGTTGATTCCTCTCTGTGGCTGAGTGATATTCTGTCACTGTACCTGGCTGTGTTGCAACTTATTTATTCATTCACTTACTGAAGGAAACTTGACTTGTTTTCAGTTTTTTGGCTCTGAACAATAAAGTTGCTAGCAGTGGTTCTAAACACAGAGCTCTAACAGTGCCTAAATTACCTTGGTGAGGGGACACACCCATGAAACCATTGCCACAGTGAAGACACCAAGTATGTCTGTCTCTCTCAGCAGCTGCTCCCCTGTACATTAATCTATGTTTTCATAAATTTCGTGCAAATGAATTATGTAATAAATATGCTTCTGGGCTTATCACTTTATCTATTTATTTATTTTGGTACTAGGGATCAAATTCAGGACCTTGTGCTTGCCAGGCAGGTGCTTATGCTGCTGAGCTATACTCCTGGCCCTTGGGTTTATCTTTCATTCAGCATACTGATTGTGACATATACTGAAACCATTGTTTCCATCAGTAGTTTTTCTCACTTTACTGCTGAATAGTAGTCCATAGAATGAGTATACCACAGTCTGTTCATGCATTTAATGGATACTGGAGCCTGTTTCTAGCTGTCAGGAATAGGTGTTGATATTCTTCAACTGTTCTGTGGATGTAAGCATTTCATGATCATGAATTCTATACAGATTAACCCTACTCAAAGGTGAGTTGGCTGTTTCTGAATGTAGTTTGTTTTGAACAAATGTTCTCATCCTAATGAGCACTGTGAACCTGTAATTAACTATAATTTTCTCTTTTCTTTTGTCTTTAAGATGCTTAATGATCAATTTGAGGGCCTACATGACAATAGTCATGCAACTTGTTATTGCATGTAAATATGATATGTTCTTGACATCATCATTGACAAATCACAAGTACAAATATTATAGTGTGCCCTCATCCACCTTGTTCAACAGATCTAATGTCTAGTGACTACCTAAAGACAAAATAACCAGAAAAAGTAAGTTTTGGATTGATTCAGGACAGTGAGGCAACTATCATATGGCAGCTAATGACACCCACCAAAGAGAATTTTCAGAACCGTTTTAGAACGAGACAAGAAAGAAGGGATGGGAGTGTTCAAACAAAGAGAGAACATTTAGAGAGTTTAATGACAATGCATCTTTTTTATTGTCATAAAAGATTTAAACTTTCCTATTTTTGAAACATAACTTATATTTTATGGTCTCTTATTATTTGTACCCTATGCCTAATTTTTAATTATCTATTTTACTATATTGCATATTTTTATAAGATATTTTAAATTCATTTTTAATGGAGAAAGAGTGTAAGTCAAAGAAATATGAAATCTGAGACAATTTGAAAGGCACTGGGGAACTTGCTTTTCCTCCAAAATATGATTTCTTTTCTACTTGTCAGGAACACCTGAAATTCTTCTTCTATTAGAGATCTTTGGAGTAATCGGTATTTCAGTATTAGAGAGAGAGAGAGAGAGAGAGAGAGAGAGAGAGAGAAGCAATTTCATCTCAGGCATGGAAATGAATTTATTTATGTACATCTTTCCAAGTGGATGGTAAGTGGACAGTTACAGGCTGAGGTGGAGAGAAGTAGAATTGGTCTGGGAAGAATGAAAATCACTACACACCAACATGGAAAGACACTAGAAAGTTACAAAAGGAAGGAACAGAAGGAGGTAACATTTCCTGATTTTACTCAATTAAGAGGCAGTATTAATTTTACTTATGTTTTGCCTTTTGTGGGGAGAATCATAATAAGATGAGAATTACATTAACCATGACAACTAACTCTTCTTTGCTGAACTACCTGGAGAGTTTTGATTACTAATGTATAGAAATGGGATACAAATTAATGTAAGGAGTCCCAGTTTAAAATCACCTAGTCATACAATGAAAACCATTTATGTTATTCCATTCTCCTTAGTATTGAGCAGATGTGTTGTTAGTTGCAATGTGGACAGGCGAAATAAGGACTGCAGTGGAGAAAAAAAAAACCCTTTTTATGTACTACAAAAGGTACAAAACTGTAGGTACCAGACATGATTAGCAATCATGAGCACACATCCCCAAATCAATCAACTCAGAGAAGAGTCAATGCAGTGCCTGAAAGCAATTCTGAAAAAGAAGAGAGAAAAAGGAGAGACAAAGAGACTCCCTCTTGCTACCAACCAATAGAGTATTGTAAGATTGATTCAGAACCCCCGGTCCCCAAAAAAGATAAACAAGCAGCCGAATTGTAGATTTAGAATACTTGGCAGTTTGCACACACCTTGCTACTGAAAATGTCATCAGTGGAAGCAAAGCTGCTGATGATATCGAGTTCTTGCAGGTATTTTACTCTTACAGATGCAAGTCTGATTCTGACTTCGTTCCGTGCCTTGCCAAATTTATGTACAATGAGTCTGTAGGCTTGTATTTGATTAATAACTCACATTCGTAGCTACTAGAAGCCAGTCAGGCAGCTCCCCATTGTGAGCAACAGGAGGCGCAGGTGGAGAAGGGTGGTTATAAATCCACCGAGGCGGTGGCTTATTGACATGTTTTCTTCATGTAGCCTCAGTAGCTTTTATCCTTCAATACTGAATCTCCATCTCAAGTGGGAGGTAGCATTACCTTTTAGAAACAAACTATAAAGGCTGTCTGTATACATAAAATTCAACTACAAAACCTACAGATGTTTATTGCGGTGCTTTATAGGGAAGGGGCCTTGCGGGATAGTTTAATTGCATGACCCTCACAGTGGGAGAGCCTGGAAGGCTTACCATAAAGTGCCTCCTGAATATTTATTAGTGTAGTAAGTAGGGATGGCTGGATGGGTCTCTACATCAATACAGCCATGTCCTGGGAGAGGGAAGAGAGTGCTGGAAACTTGTAAAGCCCTCATTGCCACATGCGTCAGGGATCACATCACTCATGAATGATATGGCCAGGCTGAATTATAGCTGTTTCCCCTCCAATCGTGATTATATTTTACTAGCCACTCAGCTCTCGTTTCATAGCTGCCACTTACTCTCATTGCCTGCAGAGAATCCCAGTTTTCTCTCCCTGGGTTTGTGGGTGGGGTTATGTTATCACAGACCAGTTGAGTTTGAAAAGCGTGCCTCAGCCCTCTGCATGTCTGGGGTGCATTTTGGCAGGAAAGTGAGTTATATGCGGGTTTCCACCTGAGTATCTTCACTCTCACCTCTGGACTCCCTTTGGGGCCCAGAAGTCTGTTCCTGCTCTTTCCTTCATGGCTTTCTGTCCCATCTGCTCTGAGTCTCTGCGTGTCTTCTACAGTTTCCTCTGAAAATCTTATGTCACCACTTTCCTATCACCTGTGAGTGTTAATGAATGTAGTTCATCAACGGCTCTCCCAGATGAAGGTCTTACCTGTTAGCACTAACGTTCATGTTTTCATGCAAAGAAGCCTAAATATTTTATACATTCTACCAAGCTAAGGGGCACTCTTTATGTTTTAGAGCTTTATCCCAATCCCAGTAGATCGACATTTATAACCTGCAAACTTCCCATCTGGTTTTGTTTTTAAATTATTAGAGTCTCACTTTAAAATCTCTACATTTTAAACTATCTCTACATTTGCACTGTATGGTAGCGGGACACTGAAGATTCAGCAAAATTCTCCTGTGAGCAATCCTGAGCTTTAATTTGAGGACAGACTTAGCCTTATTTTCGCAGATCAAAGCTAAGATTAGAAAACTCTTTAATTTCAGTTCCTAGGTTCCTTTCTGACTGGGTTCTTTTAAAATCCATTTTAAGTTCATGTTGAAAGTCTTCAAATGGCAGCATTTTTACATTTTTAAAAAGAAAGTCTGAAAGGAAGGAGGACTGTCTTGTGTTTTATGATATAATTCAGTTAGGTATGTAGAGTAATTGTTGCAATAACTCATCAAGGCCTCACCAAATGCTCTTTGAATTGAATTGAGTTGAAATATACATCTGCATAATTATAATTTCACTTTGATACCTACTCTATTTTTAGGATTATTGAAATTTTGTGTTTTTCTGGCTTCATTCCTGCCCAAAAAAGTGACAGTCAAGACTCTTATTTTTAAAATAGATCATCACTTACTCTCTGGGTTCATTTCTGGTGTTCACCTGTTTCTGAAACTTTGACTTATATAGCACATTCCACACTTCAGGAGAGCCCAGGGAATCTAATTTTGTACATCACATAACTTGGCTTTCAGATTCTCAGGGAGTAGTCTGAGTCTATCAAAAGACACAGCTGTGGCTCTTTTCTCCATTTGAAGAGCTACTGTTGGCAAATGCTGCCCGTGCAGTCTCAGGCATCTCGTCATGTCTAACCGGCTGGGGTGCAAGGCAGGCAGCCCCAAGGGCAACTAAGCGTTTCTAATCACTTTGCGTTGAACATCGCCTTGCTGTGGCTTTAACTCCAGGGGCAGAACTGGTGGCAGTGTAGTCGTCCTGTGTCTCTCTGCCTTGTTTCATGAACTCAGTGGTGTCTCAATAGCCATATCCACCTTTAGGAGTTTCAGGGAAGTTTAAAAATAGTGCTTGTTAATTTACACACATGCTGTCTATCTTGTGGTTTCCTCATGAGCCAACAAGCACGGAATAAGACAGGACACACTGAATCGTGGGTAGCGATAGAATTTTTACCTCTTCTCTTCCAGAAGCACACAGCTACTTGCTACATCACTGGCAACCAAAGCTAACATTTCATTTTCACAACATATGAAAATTTGAAGGCACTCTTAGCAGGTCTCTCTCTCTCTCTCTCTCTGTGTGTGTGTGTGTGTGTGTGTGTGTGTGTGGCCTGGAAATTCATACTGGCAACTGAAACCCTGTGTCCTGATTGATGCCAAACTATGCACAATTATCTACTCTTACCAGACTTTGGGTGCAGATTATAGTGAGGAAAAATTCCTATGCAGAACTTAAAAACTGAATTCATTTGTAAATTCTGGAAAGGCTGATGAGCAGGTAGCTTCTAGCTTAGCTTTCTATTTCTGTTAGTTGGGGAAAAGTCTGTATCAGTAGAGGGATACCTGGGTGGAGGAGGGAGCTGTGGCTAGTGGATACATGGGCAGAGAGCCTTTTAGGAGCCTTCTAACAATTTCTAGATATGTGAACTCCTAGAATGTGGTTTTGAATGCCCATGTTCAAATATAAACACTAGAATTAATCTCAAAGCTCAGTATAACATTTAAAGCATTATGCTTTTGAGTCAATGATAGCATCATTTTTCTCTTTTAGCATGTTGGAATTTGATAATTCATTGGATAGCTCTGCTCATCAGCTTTTCATCTGAAGAAGGGTCACTAGGTTTAGTAAACAAAGATATAGGTCACCAGTTAAATTTTAATTTCAGATATTCA